CTTGATCATTGTTGGTTTGAAGTTGAGACTGTCTGAGAATTCGATTGCTACCCCTGCTTTTCTCTGAGGTGCTGGGGCATGTAGTATTGTGTTCCATCCTTTGACTTTCAGCCTATGATTGTCTTTACGAGTTAAATGTGTTTCCTGTATACAGCATATTGTTGGATTTTGTTTCCTAATCCACTGTGCCTGTCTATTTCTCTTAATTGGTGAATTGAGTCCATTTACATTGATGGTTAGAATTGAGATGGATTGACTTACGGTTGCCATGGTATTTACCTGTTATTGTTACTCTTTTTTCTCCTGTGTTTAATTGCTTACCCTATTTAGTTGGTTGCTTTTGATCTCATTCGTGGAGTTCTGATCGTTTTGGTCCCTCTCTAGAATATCTTTCAGTAGCCTGTGTAGAGTTGGCTTTGTCATCGCGAAATTCTTTAGCTGTTCTTTGTCATGGAAGTATTTCACTTCTCCATCCAACTTGAAAGAGAGTTTTTCAGGGTATAGTATTCAGGGCTGGAATTTGTTTTCATAGGGGACCCGAAGTACTCTGCTCGATGCTCTTCTTGCTTGCATGGTTTGTGAAGTCGGCTGTAATTCTGATGGGTTTCCTTTGAATGTGATCTACTTCTTTTCTCTAGTGGCTTTCAGTAGATTATTCTTGTGCTTAATTTCTGGGATCTTGACTATTATATGTCTCGGTATGTTTTTAATTGGGTTGAAGTTCCTTGGCATTCTGTATGCTTCAGTTACCTAAATGTTATATTGTTTCCTCATATTTGGGAAGTTTTCTGCTTTTACTTCTGCCCATATTTTTTTAATGGAATTTTTATTGATTCCTTCTTTCTCACTGATGCCTGTTAGTCTCACATTGTTCATCTTTGCAACATCTTTCAGGTTATGGATTATTCTTTCCTGCATCCTCGTTTTTTTAAAGAGACCCTTTCTTACCTTTTCACTAGCTGCACCAGCATCTTCAAGTTCTGAAACTCTGTCTTCACACTCACTTAAAGGGTTTTGCAAGCTTTGATTGAGATTTTCATATCCTCTATATCTCTTTGAGTCTGCTTCATGCGATCTATTTATTTCCTGTATTGCTCATTCAAGGAATTCATCCTTTTTTTCTAATCTCCTCTTTTTTTTTTAAATCAATATCTTCTTTAGAAGCAGTTATAAATTCTTTTACTGCAATGTTTTTTTTCAGATTGGGTTTCCTCCCTATGTTTCTGTAGTTGCTTCTTTACTTCAGATAATATAAGTTGTGAGAGTTCTTTTTTTATTTCAGAAAAGAATTGCACTCTGATTTCCTCTATATCTTTCTGCTGTTGCTTATTTTTATCGATGCTATCAATTCATGCATTTCAGCCAAGCTAGTGTCCTTCGCTCTTGTTCTTTGTGGGAACTGGGTTTCCTCCATATGTTTCTGCATTTGATTCTTTAGTGCAGATGTTATTATTTCAGGGATTTCTTTTTTTTATTTCCAATCTGAGGTCCTCTATACCTTTCTGTAGCTGTTTCCTTATTTCAGAAGCCTTTGATTCATTGCTTTCAGCTGTGTGATTTCCAATTTGTTCTGTGTTAGTGTCCTCAGCACTTGTTACGGGTGGGCTTGGGTTCTGAGGTTGCATTTTGTTCCTTCTCGTCATTTTGTGTAGCACTGTC